CCGCTCATGGAAAGTCCAATGGGTTGGGAGGTCGCAAGCTTTCTCGTTACGCTGGTTGGTGGGCGTTCGAGCATATCGACACAGGCAATGGATTCGAGGCTGCCTACAAGAACTGGGCTGCGTATGGACCCCTACTGATAATTCCAGGCGATGTACTAATGTTTCTATCTTCAGTGCTGCCGATGCTACGAGTCATTTGTTCTTCGCCTACCTCCGTTCGCTCTCCCCCGATGTGCCTCGCGGCGTGACCGGCATCTCATCGCTCCCTATTTCTCTCCAATCCCTCGTTGGAGCTACCGAATACCCCCCAGAGACCCCTACTTTGTTGCAGGTCACAACTACAAAGGTGGTAATGATTGTCGAGAATGTTTCCCCGACGCCGTTTTCTCTGCTGCGACGCGCAAAGAACTTTGAGTACCGCGACGATGACTGGCACCTGCAGGAATTCGCGAACTACGAGGACCCTATCCGCGCATTGACCGACGAGTGTCTCCGTGTTCTGAAGTGTATCTCGTCTGCGAATGAATCCAGTGTCTCCAGCTCGAAGCAGTCAACCAGTCTGCGGGATGCATCCTGGTCTCGCTTCGAGGATATTGGATTTGGTGGGTCAATCGATTCTGACGGAGATGAGGAGGAAACCAAGGAGAACCGCGCACCCGCTACTGCGAAGAGTGCAGCTACCTCAATGAACACCGTCCCTCAATCTGGAGGTGATCTTGGCCGCCCTACCACCCCTTCATGGGCCGACTTTATGTCCTCTGGATTTGCGGACGAGAATGGCAACCTCAAGAACCATGTGGGTCCTCTGCTCTTGCCTCCTGATAAGGTGCTGCCTCCAATTGCTGCCGTTCGTGGCCAGAGCTCTCAATCCCACAAGCGCAGTTTGGACGTTGAGCCCGATCTTGAGCCTGCTGAATTGGCGAGTATCAATACCCTGGATCTGGACGACTCATTCTGGTGGGTGTGGATCAGCAGTCTGTCTGGCGATGAGCCCTCGGCCCGCAAGGCAGTATTTGGTCGATGTGCCCTCCTCGAGACCGTTATTCGTGACACCAAATGGTTGGTCCTTGAGGAGCAGGTGAAGGGCGCCGCCCCCGAGCCCGAGGCCGGTGCGCAGATTGTCGAGAAGAAGCGGTTCTTCAGCTTCGGTAGCCGCAAGGGAAAGCTCAATCGTCGCAAGTCATCCGCTAAGAAGGTCTCTTCCATTGAAGACTCTTACAAGCGGACTAACAACCAAGCTCCTCAGAGCAAGACCAGCATTGGTCCTGATCAGCACAAGCGAATTCAGGCAGCTGCGGCTGCTCTTCAAAAGAAGCACCGCGAGCAAGAAGCAGAGGCGAATCAGAACCCTGCAAACGCCGTTAACAACCGTTATTCGACTAAGACCAACTCCGTCATGACGCTTCAGCCGGGCATTATGAACGAAGCCTCCCAGGCTATGAAGTGGACTACCAACTACGACAAGGGTGCCTTCAGAGCGGCATACCTTAGTAACTCCCACGCTGGCACCGGTGTCCAGGATGAAATCGAATCCGCTGAGCCTGCTACCCCTGAAGCACCCGTTGAGAAGGTTAGCTCTCCTGCGCCTCCCGCAGAGAGCACTACCAAGGATGCTCCAGCACCACCTCCCAAAGATACAAATGCACCCGTCGCCACCCCTCTTCCTCCATCCCCTGAGCCAGCGAAGGAGACTGTCAAGGTCACCAGCCCCGAAGAGGAAAAGACCAACGCAAAGCCCGCTGTCGTTGAAAAGCCCATTGAAGCCCGGGAGTCGTCAGACGATTCAAGCAAGAAAGTGAAGAAGAAGACCGGAAACTCTGGCTTCAAGAGCATGTTCACTGCGAAGAAGAAGGCCGACCAGCCTCCTATGAAGGACACTGGTGCCACCTCAGCTGTGGCAGCTGCTCGTGCAGCCCTTGAAGCCAAGACCAAGGCAGCTCAGGAGACACCTCCTGTGAAGAAGAAGCCTCTTCCCAAGGAAGCTGCCGTTGCGATCGAGCCCGTCACCGCTGAAACCAAGCCCTCAACTCCCCAGCGTGTCGAGGAACCCAAGGCGGAATCTGTGGTTGAGCCCCCGACCCCTACCCGACCCTCCGTCTCCCAGGATGGAACCGGTGCGCCGCCAAAGACCAGACGTGCCGTTGAATATGATGCCTTGTCCCGCGTTGCCACCCACGAACGCGATGCCGCCGACCAGGAGTTCTCCAAGTTCGACCAGGGCCCCCTTCTAGATCAGCCTTCCTTTGTTCCGGAGTCACCTGTAACACCTGTGTCACCTGTGGATCCCACTCTCGCAGAAGAGAAGACCGAGCTTTCCCAGGCCCCGTCCAACGGCCATGCCACCAGACCCGAAACTAGTACCTCGTCCGAAGCCGTCCACCCCGAACAGGACCGGTGGAGGGCGATCCGTGAGGCTGCTGCCCAGCGGGCTGTCGCTGCTCAGGAGGAACAGGAGCAGGAGCAGCAGACCGAGACTACGACCCGGACTAGTCAATCAGAGCGTACTGATGAGGGAGATACTAGCGGAGAAGAGAGTAAGTTTTCCATTACTTTGTCAATGACTTCCGCAATACTTACCACGCTGCCTAGCCATCGAATCTCGTGTCGCCCGTATCAAGGCCCGAGTGGCCGAGTTGACTGGAGGCAACATGGAGGTCGAGCAACAGCGCTCTTAGACGCAACTCTCTCCAAATCAACCTGTTACCTCCACCGATTGCTATAATCCCCCTAACAAGACAAACGCCGTCTTATCAGCTACCTTTCATCCACCCTATACCCTTATTCCAACCAGACCTTGTCTTTGCTTTTCGACCTTAGTCTGTTAAATGACCGCAAGACCCATTCATATCAATGGGCAGACTGACGAACCTCGCGAAACGATTAACGGATACTATTTGGTTGTGACAATCGCCCTTCTTGACCTTTTTCCCTTCTCTTCGGATCTTCTCCAGTCCCGAGCTGGTCAGATACCCCCTTTCTTACCTTGAAACTATATTCTTGAACTCGATTTTTCATTGATTTCCCCTTCCAATCTACCTACCAAATCTGGGCCCTTCTTGTTTGTTTATCTCTGTCTCTGTCACTTTGCTCTATTCCCCTTTTGCTTTTTCATACTGCCATATTATTATGGGGTTCAGGTTGCTAGTTGCTACTAATATGAACCGTTTTTGTCTTTGATTTTCTTTATATTTTAATTTCTTTTTTCGGATTGAAATCGGGCAAACACACTAATTGCGATTCTGTCCTACTACCTTGAAGGATATAATCAAGCCTGAATAATAATAGGATAATTCATAAACAAGTCATATTTAGCCTACCATATACCATATACCATACAGCCAATACCAAAGTCAAGTAAGCAACTCAAGTCAACCAACAGACAAGGCAAGCATATTCAATCCAATCAAAGCCCCAAAGCCCTCAAAATCTCCTCCCCAACCTTCCCAGCCGAAGCCGGATTCTGCCCAGTAATAACTACACTCCCAGTACCAGCAGCCTTCCCAACAACAACCTTCTCCTCCCAAGGCTCAGCAGCCTTAACATACTTCCCACCAGAAACCTTCCCAAGCTCCGTTTCCAGCATAAAGGGCATAACAGACGACGCACCCACCGCATCCTCCTCATCATTCGAGAAGCCCGTCACCGTCACGCCGGAGATGAGGCGTTCGCCGGAGGGAGCGGTTGCATTTAGGAGGACGCAGGGTCCGTGGCAGACTGCTGCCACTGGTTTGTTAGAGGCGGCGAAGGCTGTGATTAGGGATAGGCTGGTTTTGGAGGTTGTTAGGTCGAACATTGCTGTAAGTAAGTATGGATGTTAGTACACATATTCTTTTTGTTTTTGGACTTTTTGAAAAAAAGACATATCATGGTATATTGCCTTGGGGGAAACATACGTCCATGTCCACCAACATAGAAAATAGCATCGAACTCGCCGACGCGAGGGAGCATATCCTCCAGCTTGTGCGTGTTCTCCCACAGGGCCCTCTGCTCTTTCAGGAAGGTCTGGGACACCGCGTCTGATTCGAACATCTTCACTGAAGCTGGGTCCAGGGGTGCCTCGCCGCCCTTTGGCGAGGCGATTGTAAGGGAGACTTTGTTTTTGAGGACTTCGTGGGGATGGGCGAATTCGGGCTGGTATTTTATGTTAGTTCTTTTTCTTTCATGCTTTGTGCGTATATCTCTATGGTAACGTATATCTCTATGGTAGATATTGAAGGGTGGTTAATTGTGCTGCATACCAAGTACCAGCCGGTTGGGTTACCAGTGGCGTCGATCTTGCCATGGGAAGTGAGGACGATGAGGACTTTGGGGGTCATTTTGGCGGATCCTGTGAATATGAAATTGAATGGACTGATAGAAGCTGAAGCTGGTGGATAGCTATTCGGCTTGAGAGAGAAGAAAGGTAAGAAGGCAATAGCTAAGAGCTTTATGGGTGCTGGATTGCCCCGCCGCTTGCGGTGTCTGGGGCGATCAGCATCATATACTTCTCACTACATCGTCACTGCCCCACTAAGGAACAGTTGTGAATCATGCAGACTCGAGCTAATCGAATTGCTTTATACTCCGTATAGAACATCTCTGTCCTTCTGCAGAGGGCTAGATTTGTGTAGCTTACTGTAATGATCCTCCCAACCCATCTCCGCATAAGATGATGTCATACCAGAAATGGACGCAAAAGTCTCCGAAAGGAGCTTCGAATTGAATGTTTGAATGTTTGAATATTCAGTCATTAATAATTAATTTGTATTGTATATCATCAGTGTATGTGCAGATGTAAAGCATAAAACTGCCAGAAAAGAACTTCTCTTGGAACACGTCATGTCAAAGGTCAAAAGCTCAATGCACTGTACAGGTATATAAAAGTACACAAACGAGCATCCCGGCTTCGGGACAGGCTCGTATGCAAATGCATCGGGTATCGAGCAAAAATCAATGGCTATCGTCGCAACGGATCGTAATTTTGGAGGGAAGGGGCACCCGAGCCACCGTGGTCTGCTGGCTCATAGTATGTACCGCAGTCGTCGTGTGGCCTCGGCGGCTACCAGTGCACTGATCGCACCAATGAAGAGGCAGATGGCGATGGCGTTGGGCCTGTCTTTGTCTAGGTTCATCCACTGTGTATCGGAGGTGTTGTCTGTTGCGGGCTCGGGGCCAGGCTCGAGGATGCTGAAAACGACCCAACTGATCATCGTGCCGACGAATTGGGGGAGCGTTGTGTACACGTTGAGCACGCCCAGGTAGATACCAGCCAGTTCGCCTGTTGATGGCGTGTTGGAGGATGGGTCTTCCTCGTCGGTATCGCTGTCGAATGAGTCGCGGTGGTTTAGTCTGAGCACGTCCAGCTCCGTGTCGGCAGCGGAGCTGGCGCGTAGACTGGCTGAGGTGATCATCGTCACGCCGGAATGTGAGTTCGGCATTGCGGCTGCGCCGCCCATTGTCAGTTTGTTAATCTCCACGCCCATAAACGCGAAGGGAGCCCAGCCACTAATCGCCCACGGAATACCGCACACAGCTACTAGGAAGGTTGCGAATGCTCGGGAATGGGCCAGAGGAGCGAAGATCATTGTTGCAGCAAACATGATCTGTGAGATTAACCAGGCTGTTTGGAGATCGGGTCGGAATGCAGTCACGGCTTTGAGAGCAGCTGCAATGCCCGGTGGAGGTCGTGGGGTAAATCGTGTCCGCTTAGTATCTGGCGGCTGGATACAGAATGGTAAAAGGACGGAGCTCAAGAAGGTGATGGATGAGAAGACAGTCAATGACAGACTGCCTACACGGCCGACCTCGCCGAGCATATCGGTTGCCTTGGCCATATCGTCTTTGGGGACTTCGTAGCGGAAGTAGGTCTCGCCAACCCAAGTTGTGCTGTAGAAGAGGAAAGGGAACCAGCCTAAAACATGTTAGGTTTAGATGTTGCACATAGCGCAGAGATCCGCATACCAATCCACGCCCAGAATTGGGCCCAGCAAATCGCTTGAATACGAGGCGGCAGTTCGAAAGTTGTCTTGAACAACTGGGAAAGGACCTGGAAAGCACCAGCCTTTCCATCACCATCCCTATTATGCCGAATTAGTTGGGACCAATTTATAATTTCAAATAAACCCACCTCGTTGAGATAAGAACACGCTCTTTCACCGAATAAGAAGTGACAGCGACGGCGCCCACCAACGACAAAGCGGCGATGACGGTCATCTGCTTAAACTGCGTATCTCCAAGTAGACTGCCAAATATACTGACAGTGTCAATGGAGCCCACCACATAAGCAAAGAGTTGGCCAATGGCGCACATTCTCCCGGCTAAGATAACTGTCAGCGTTTTAGACTGAGACATATGGGGAAAGACCATACCCCATGCGGATCCGGTTTGCTGCAATGGAATCGGTAGCGTATCCACAATCAAACTGCGACAACACGCCTGGACTATACCATTGTAAGCTACATATTTCGACAGATGAAGTCTGCCACTTACCAACATTGATGGAGAAATCCACCGCGTAGATACTGATGATGGCCAAGGCAATTGTGCCATTCTTCGCCTAATTAACCGCATGTAAGCTTCCAATACACAATTCACCCAGTGGAGCTGAGGTTTCATCCGAAAAGATAGGGAATGTACCTTCTCAGGATCCTTAACGAACAACCCAACAATCTCCGCCGTCCATCCCAAGATGAACAGACAAAAAGCCACAACAAAAGATCCAAAGACCATGAAAGGTCTCCGGCGACCCCATTTCGACCGTGACCGATCGGCAATAACACCAATAAGAGGCTGGATGATCAACCCGGATAGAGGGCCAGCAATCCACACCAACGAAGTCTTGGACTTGGTCAAACCAAGCTGTAGAAGGTATGGCGTACAATCTAACCCAGACAACCGAATTAGCGACAAATATCCACAATCCAAAGGGTCAATCTCAACTAGGGAAGTCCTTACAGGTCATCTCAGTACCCCAAGTAAACCTACCCCAAGCATAAAAGTGTCAGCCAAACCCCCTCCAAATATCCAATTTGAATCCCTCATCAATTGACCCGCAAGTCTCGAGAATTTACACGGCGCCATATCCCAATCATTCAACGAAAGGAAAAGAAAGGGAAAAATACGCACTGCAAGCCAACCAAACTAAACGTCAACAAAGCCATCCGAGTCGCCTCAGACCGACCCTTGATAGAGGGCGTCCCCGCCCACCTCGCAGTCTGTGGCATACTGATTATCCACGGGCTGGCATGCGCTCAGCTCCTCCACATCTACCCAAGGAAGTGATAATGTACGTATGCGGATGCGGATGCGGATGAGAATGTAGCCAGTGAATTGGTCGGCTGGATAGTATACGCGCTATTCGGAATTGAATCCGGGGATTGAAGTATGGGCCGGGTATTCTGTGTAGGGTATAGCGTTTCGTCGTTTCGTCCTCTGCTCTGTGGTGTGTCGCGTGAGGATGGGGCTTGACCGCGGGGGGCTGAAATGGCGGCAATTAGCGTGCGCGGTTCCGCTGGGACTGGGGTTGGGGGTTGTGGGTGTGGTTACGTATGGATGAGTTGGCGCGGATAGAGAGGAAGGTAGGATTGGAGGTGCGACGGCTGTAGCTGTTACAGCTGAGAGAAGCTGAGAAGAGAAAGAAGGGGAGAAAATCGACATGGCCTGAGCGGGCCGGCCTTATCGATTTATTATTAATTTATTTTATCCCCCACGGGCATCTGCCGATCCGGCTGTTGTTTCAGGGTCTTTTTTGTTTTCTTTTTTCTACTCTTGTTTCTACTGCATGTAGGCACTTGTTTCAGGTGTGTTGTCTCTTGTCTGTTTGCAGGTTGAGCTGTACATGTCAGGTTGTCAGTTCTTTGATTGGCTGAGATGAGATCGGATGACATAATCTGTCCCTGAATGCCAATTATAGAAACACACGGGACGCCATGAACGTGGGACTTTTAGGGGTTGTGATGTATTGCTTAAGGCATATACTTTACTGACATAGGTGGAGAATCTGATATAATAAATCAAGTATAGCGTAAGTTCTTTCATCGCGTGCGTCGCATCCAATTCAAAATTGGACCTGTAAACCGAATTTAAGTATCACAGTATGAAGCGACACCTGTTATGGCCAGCCGACCAACCAACAGGAGTAAAAAGAGATTTTAATTCCTTCGTATCCCAAATCCGCTTCCCATAATCGTCGTAAACAGCTTGTACCCTGAGGATCTACAACCGGTTGGGGGCCGAGTTCGTAACAGGCCACTGGTAGCCAGCGGCGTCGCTGAACTTATAGCCGTACGATGCAGTGAAGTCATCAAGGACGGCAGGGCCGCGGGAGCCTATATCATCAATTAGCTACATGCCAGGGTCGGGGTCAAGGTAGGACACATACCGTAGGGGTATTCCATGGGGATGATTTCCTTGTTGTCATCCAGGTAGTGGAGGAGGGGAGTGAACATGCGCCAGCTGGCATCCAGCTCGTCGTCACGGACGAAGTTGGAGTGGTCGCCCTTGAAGGCGTCCAGGATCAGGGACTCGTAGGCCTCGGGGATCTTGAGGTCGGAGAAGCGGCGACGGTAGGTCAAGTCCAGCTCGGTAACCACCGTCTGCATGGACAGACCGGGGAGCTTAGAGTTCATCTTAATGTAGACGGACTCGTTGGGCTGGACACGGATGACAAGCTCGTTACGGGGAATGTCCTTGAAGATGCCGGAGGTGACATCCTTGAACTGGATGCGGACTTCGGTCTTCTGCTCGTTCAGGGCTGCTGAGTGTTAGACAATGTTTAACAAGTCCTGGGGAATCCATTCTTACCCTTTCCGGCCTTGAGGATGAAGGGAACGCCGTCCCAACGCTCGTTCTTGATGTATGCGACCAGCGCGCAGAAGGTGGGGCAGCGCGAATCCTTGGGCACGGTGTCGTCCTCGAGGTAACCGGGCTTACTGCCGTCGAGGGAGCGGCCGTACTGGCCGATGATGACGTTCTTGGGCTCGATGGCATCCATAGCGCGGAGAACACGGACCTTCTCGTCACGGATGTCCTCGGAAGAGAAGGAGATGGGGCGCTCCATAGCGAGCAATGTGAGGACCTGCAGAAGGTCTGCAAACTGTTAGCTTTGTCCTATTTCATCAATGCTACTTGGAACGTACGGTTCTGCATGACATCACGGATAATACCGAACTCATCGAAGTAACCGCCACGGCCCTCGGTACCGAAAGGCTCCTTGAATGTAATCTGTAGTCGAGATTAGAATTCGAGATCGGACTAATATATCCATCAACGTACCTGAACGTTGTCGATGTGGTGGCGGTTCCATGTAGCGTTGAAGAACTCGTTGCCGAATCGCAGAATCAAAATGTTCTTAACCATCTCCTTACCGAGGTAGTGGTCGATACGGAAGATCTCCTCCTCCTTCCAGTTGGGGTCCAGGGCCTTTTGGAGGTCGCGCGAGCTCTGAAGGTCCTTACCGAAGGGCTTCTCGACCTGTAGAACACTCGTATCAATATGTGATCCAACAGCAAGCGTCCAGGCAACTAACGATAATACGAGCGAGACCGCTCTTGGGGTAGCAGTTGCGCTTGAGCTGCTCAGAAACAGTAATGAAGACACTCGGAGGCAGAGCCATGTAGAAGACACGGTTGGACTCCTTTCCTTGGCGGCTCTTCTCGATCTCCTCGAGGTGCTTGTTCAGGTTGATAAAGGAGTCATCCTGGTCGTATTGGCCGGAAACGTAGGTGCAAAGGTTGCAGAACTGGTCTAATTGCTCTTCAATTTCCTTAGTGGGGACCTTGATGTAAGAGCGAACGCGCTTGAGGTATTCATCGTGCTCCATCTTAGTCCGCGCATACCCGACGATCTTAATGTCCTTGGGAAGGAATTTGTTGCGGAACTATTTGGAAGAGTCAGTCGATTGGGACTACGTTCATTAGTAGAAATAGCACATACGAGACCGAAGAGTGCAGGGAACTGTGATGGAGTTAGTCAGTACTCGTCATATCCTCGGGGGAGGGGCACGAACGGTCTTCTTCTTCGCCAAATCACCAGAGGCGCCTAGTACCACAATGATGGTATCATCTTTGAGTTCGATGGTGCTGAATGCGACATCCATTGTTAGCGGTGTTGCGTTGAATCGACCGAGGAAGAATTTGCGTGGCACGCGGCAGTAGAGGGTCTCAGTAGGGAGCTCTCGGAGCAGACAATGCTTGCGAAAGTGCCCAGTGAAGAAATCAGAGGAAATCAGGATGGAGGCAAAGTGTGCTTCCACTCAAAAGTGCAATGGGCCAGGTTGAGGTTGAGACGAGGTATCCGGTGGGCTTCCGCCGGACGGGGAGGTGATGTCAGAGACAGGAGGGGAACAACTCACCCAGCACTCTGGCGATCATCGGTTTGTGCGACCATGCCAGACATATTGAAATCGCTATAGGAATGAAAAATTGATGGGAAAGATGAAGGAAAGGAAGAAGAGGACAGGATCCGGCGGAGTACTTTTTCTACGGGAGTCTCTCACAGCTTCGCTGGTGGGGCTTGGGGGGGTATTTTATGTGTTTTATGACTTCAGGGTAATTACTGCGATTTTTCTCTATGACGATAGCCTATGACTGATCCTTTGCTTTTTTTGTCTTTTGACTATTTAGTCTCGGCTTTGCTCCTGGCCTGACCCTCTCGAGGCATTTGCCGGTCTGTGGACTTATATGTCTCTCTTTTCTTAACTCCGGCCTTCAGGTCACCCACTGTCATTGACTCCAGTACTTTAGGGTCACTGTAGGATCCCACGGGATCTTACCCGGTCTATTGACCCCGCGCAGCTTACAGCTTACTATGTAGACTCGGCCTCGTACCTCACCTCGAGGGTGTGCAACGTCATGTCGCTTATGCCGGTCTAATTTAAATTATTCATGCAGTTCCTCAAGTACTGTACAAAGGGGCGGTCATCTGATAAGTAATCTCACTAGGCGCGGATCACATTGCCCGAACAGGCTGAATTCGAGGGTGGAGTGGTACGTACTGAATAGCTTTGCGGTCAACTACATACAGAATGTGTATGAAGTGGATCTACTGCATGATAGGCAAGCCACCTTGAAGTGTGACATCTCCACTGAGCCTATGTATCAAGAAACACCAAATACCGAGCACGCAACGTGATAAGAGAGCTCTACGGAGTACCGGTGACCGAAATCGTGGGGAGCGATCGGCGAATTTGTCATCTCTCGTACCAGACGGATTCTATTTTCCCGACTGTTAAGTCCGGTTGAGGTGTGAGGGCTTTCAATCTATAGGTCCGAATCCGGAGCATATTAACCGTTGGGGGGTGCGACTTGCCCCTCGGTATATGTCCTAGCGGACGGTTCGGTGAGAAAAGAGGAAAAGAGTCTGATTGGGAATTTCCCCGAATCTAGGTTTACATCTTAAGTGTAATCCCAACATGGTGGGGCAGAGGAATTTCTAGATTTCCCAATGAGTGGTCTCGGTCTGTTGTATGAAGATGTGTAGATGTGATATTCAGGGTTAATGGTTAATTTTCAAGCTACTGTGGTATCAAATCAATATAGTGAATTACAATCTCTATCTGAACACAACTCATTTCACTTCACTCAATTCAAAAGACATGAAGACAGTGTATAAAATTCGTTGGATGAAGAGTTGTCGTCATGCTGAGGTTTGTCAGCTGAGACTGCGGGCAAACCGGCTCGGACGACTGTTGCCCGTGGTGGGATAGTCGGACTGGAGAAACCAAAGCCCGGCTCTGATTGCTTATCTAAGATTATCCTTATCTAGGCTGATATAATCGGCTGATCTAGTCTGACAGAAAACACTGGGCGGTGTGGTGGACGGGAACAACCAAAATCCGAGGGGCTCGCTTAGCCCTAAGCCCTGTCACCTGATACACGGCGCACATTGGTTGTGCGCTCTATCGCTAGACTATCTCGATCCGACGACAACACGACAAACGATCTTGCGGGTCATTCCTTCGACTTTCTTTCCTTGCCCGCTCCCAGAAAAAAGCCGACACAATGCCTTCGGAACAAGGACACCGCCGTGAGTGAATCCCTTCGAATGCTGGATCGTCGTTGTGGCGGTCTCAAATTCGCGATGGCGCAGGAAGACCCTGTGTGCGATGACACAAATGACCTGATATGCTAACATTCTCTCCTCCTCTAGTCTACGTCAAGTAAGTTATCACCGCACATTCCCATCGTCGCACACGAGAGACACCAGTTCGAAAATGGAGAAATGGAGGACCGATTTTGGAGGATCCAAAAACCATCGCAACCAACTCGAACCATCACCGATCAGAACAGAGCATTAATACGATTTCTTTGTAGGGGTCGCCACCTGAGCTACCAGCGTTCCAAGCACGCTCTCAACCCCAACACGAGGTACTTACACCCTGCGCCCAAAATGTGAATGGAAGAATGGAATCTGATACATGGTTATACAGCTTGGTCAAGATCGAGGGTGTTGATGACACCAAGTCCGCCAACTTCTACCTTGGCAAGAAGGTCGCTTTCGTTTACCGGGCCAAGCGTGAGGTCCGCGGCTCCAACATTCGGGTGATCTGGGGCAAGGTCACCCGCCCACACGGTACGTGATCCATCGAGCGGTCTCAGACACGGCGGCCGACGAGCTGCCCAAAATCCGTCGAAATATCCATATCTGACTGTTATAGGCAACTCCGGTGTTGTCCGGGCTAAGTTCCGCAACAACCTCCCCCCCAAGTCCTTCGGCGCTACCGTCCGCGTTATGCTCTACCCCTCCAACATTTAAACGGCTTCTTTGTGTTGTTTTTGTGGGCGATTCCCTTTACGCGCAGACGGTCGGTCAGGCAAGGAAAAGTCGACGGAACGAGCCGATGTTGATTTGAGGTGATGGAGTTGGCGGGTTGATAACGTTTTATTCGTGGGAGAAGGCAGGGCCACCATGCCCTACGAATCAAAAAATTTACACTTTCATAGCTGTGTCGGCCCCGAGGCACCGGGAAGAGCTCAGTCTCGATATTTCTCCTTGTTCCTACAATTGGCGAGCATGATGTGTCTGGTCGCGCAGCGTCACTTTCTCCCACTGTGTATCTGACGCTAATACGCACCAAATTCCATACCATTTCAATTTCAACCGGTCAATCGATCCGCATCTTTGTGTCCGTCTTGATTCTTAGAGGAATTGTATTTACTTGCTTTGGCTACTTTGCACCACTGCATGTTTTGCGACCAGTATATGACCCTGAATTGTAGATTGCATCACTTGTAGCTATGGTGGAGCTATGCTTGCAGACATCCAGGCGCTTGACATATGGCGACTAGTGCGTTCTCATCGGTCTCGGCCTCAGGCGAGAAACCTGGACATGGACCTAGGCCGCTATCCCACTCCTATCCTCGCCACGCTCTTGAGTGCCAATTTCTTTTGGTAACTACAACCCCAAGAGGTTTGTTTCTAGCTCCCCTAGCAATAATTAAGTGCTTCTGGACAGTTTCCAAATGCATACATACCCGCTCTCCTTCGATTCATCTGACTTGTAACACCATTGATTTTGAAACAGATCACTCTTTGGCAAAGGAATATTCTTTCTCTGTTGTATCCAAACTATTTGGAAGAACGCCCGTTCATATCTTCTCGACTGGAACGAAGTTGATCAGACGCCGTCGGCCTTTGTCTAATCGGCCACAGCCAACGAGTCATTGGTGATGTCTTGACAACCATTTCACCTTCCCAGTGCAAAGATCATGGTTATCCATAATTCCAACAAGCTCTCCAAATTGATTGACAGCGGGGATATGCTTGATACCTTTGGTGTTCCTCCGCCAAGTCACAGTTCATAATTGAATCGCCTCAGTGAAATCAGACCATACTGAAGTACAAAGTACACTCTATGCTGGAGAGAAAAAGAAGCCTCAAGCTGTTGCAGCGTCTGAGGAACTATGTTCAGCCGGGGGTCGGTTTTTCCCTAGCTATACAAAATGACAGTGTCATATGATTCTAGGGTTTGTTTGGCATTCGTGATGGGCTCCATACCCTCGACCCAGCTTTTGAGTTCAAGGAGGGCGAAATCGAAACTCTTGGTCCTGCCGTTGTATTTTGGATGGTTGGTGACTCCTACCACCCAGTTCTTCATTCCTTTATCGCGAACGAGGCTGCCGGCTTGCGTGCTCACATAGCGAAATTGTTCTTAGAAGTGATGTGGGGGGCAGATTTGTGATCTTCAGGACCAAAATGTCAGCATTTTGGGTCAATGGGTGCTTTTAAACTGTGCCTGAAGGCTATCCATCAATGGCTGACGAAACACAACTTAATGAGCTTAGAGTCATCTAAGGTAGCAGAGTCAACCCCATCATAGCTGAGTACACATGGAGATGGTCCTGGAAGATAGCCTCTTATGGGAAATCTGTTTGGCTCGTTGCTGGAAGTCTCGCCACCATTACATACTATACTGCACCTACAAGGTCTTCAGGTATTCGTTAGTTATTGCAGCTGTGCCTTGTCGCACGCAATGCACAAGATGAAATGATACAACCTGGCTCCCAGGTTCTTGTGGGTGGCCATAATAAGCTTGTCGCTAACGAATAGTCATTTGAAGTCTTCGATCAACTTGGCGAGAAACTTTTCAATATTTAATGCATTTGCAGACACTTAGGTTAACGTTGTAATGTAAGAAGATTTCAGCCTATCCGAGCGTGTTGACAACAGAAGGGGGCTGTTTGTGGTAGGCCTGGGAAAATGACTCCGCTTCTAAAGTAAGCAGCAGATCTGTGATCGACAACACATACTTAATTGAAGTTTAATTGAACCGGAGCAACGGTTCACATATACTGCAGTTGCCAACTCGCGCGGGTCGGCCTACCTAACAAAGACCTGCAATGTCGATCGAGTAATCGTACAATTGGCCCATCTGTTGGTTACATATTCCAGTCCGTTGAAAATCAAGATAATTCCGGTGCTAACATATCTCATGAATATCCATTGTTGTGGGGACTTTGCGCAGGAAAACAGCGGGGCGGCCTTAGTCCCTAGATAGTGGTCTCCTTCGATAACCCTATGATCAGACCGCATTATTGCTATCTTTTTCAAGACAGCCCATGTTTACAACTAGCAAACTACCTTAAAGTAGTTCGTTAAAGACTTTCTGTGTCTTGTCGGTGTCGAGCGAGAAAAGTGCATGAAATATATAATCTGACCCACACTCCACATTTCCTGAAGTATAAAAGCATGAGCAACGTTAATCGTAAAGCAGCACGCCATCTATATCCCACATTCCAAACCAAACTCCAACATCCAAAGTAACATTCGTCTTAGAAAGTTTCCTTATGAATCGACTGTCGGTGTGCTTTCAGGTTCTCCTTCCGACTGGCGGCGTGATCGCACGAGGGACATTTGAAAGCGCGCGGAGAGACATGCTGCGTCTCAATGTGCCGCATCAGGACTCCCTTGCGCGAGAAGAAACGATTATAGGTACAACCTACCCACTCACACTTGAAAGTGCCGTAAAGATCGCTGTGGCTGTATGTGATATATGCGGTCAGGTATGTGACAACTGAGGTACAGTGCTGCTCCGCTAGGGTGGGTCTTGGGGTCTTACTTCTGTTTGGATACCCCACGAGTAAGGCAGGGCCTCTTAGTCTTGGCAGGCTTCTTGCTAACCTCTTCCAGAGGATCCGCTCGGTTTGATGAGGAAGGCGACGAAGTGACGTCGGTCCAGGGACTTGGATAGCCAGGATCGTAGGGGCTTGCGGGGGAAATAGCGGTGCTATTGGAAGGGATCGATGCGGAGCTTAGGCTCCTCTTATTGATGGGTCTGGTGATGGTGTTTGGGCATAGGTATGCTGCAGTAGACCTGTTGTCCGTCTCCTCGTGAGGGTCCGGAATTTTTTGCGCGGAAGGGGATGGAGTAAAATCAGTCCAAGGACTTGGATAGCCACCGTGATAGGGATTCTCTAGAGCCAAAGCTGTAGTGTTGCTATGAACCGGCACAGGCTCTGGGTTACTTTGGTCGATGGGCTTAGGAAAGGTGTTTGGGTTCAGGTATACCGAAGGAACCAAGGTAGGAGGCGAAACAAAAGTTCGGGCAACTGGCATCGCTGGAAACTGTAATTGATAGTTGTATGAGGGGTCTCCGACAGCTGGTATGCTTCTCGGGGTGGCAAAGGGTTCGGGGGATGGGGCCATGAAGAAAGATTCAGATTGTCTGAGAACGTCGGTTCTCCAGCTGCCCAACCCTGAGTTGGACCACTGAGTGTTTTCCAAGTTGTCGTTGGGGGTCGGGCGTTCCATAATGAGGGAAGACAACCGGGGCACCCCCAGTAAACAAGAATATTATGAAAGATAGATAGAGATGGCTGGTTTAGTTATCGAATAATCACTTGGGGAAAGCCTTTGGGGCAAGGGGGATTCCAGTACTTATAGACTGACATAGGTGTAGGCCACTGTTATGGCCTAGAGTCTGGAAAGGTAAAGGGGACTGCGAAAGAGAGAGCGAATTAAAATCCTCAAAGATCGGCGGGCAAAAGGCGGGCTTTAGGACTTGACAAGGTACAATGTACATTGTACAAACCAGGTAAGTTATAATTTGTACACTAGAGGTGAGTAGGATTCAGGTGAAATATAGACGTCAATCTCTATTTACCACATCTAGGTTCCCCCCGAGACTTTAACAAGAAACCAGTGTCCCGGTGGTATGGTTCTTGGAATTTGGGAACCCCGATTTGGCTTCTAGAAACTGCAGGGGATTTTCATCTCGATGTAATTTTACTTCTGACTCCAGTGCTACCCCGCTGCCCTGGATACTCACACCAATATTGCTTTCTCCTTGGACAGATCGTTGCCAAGAAAAATGACTACTGCATGCCCGCCCCCCGGTATTGCCCCTGCAGAACTCGTATTCGGAAGGTGTTATCAGGCGCATCGGTCAGGGACGAAAAAGAAACGTACAGGATGTAGGAAAGCTTTATTGGACGGTTCACCCAGTATGGCGTAGCCATAAGGCAATCATGCGAACTAACAGAGACCTGAAAAGGCAAGCAGAAGAAGGGATCGGCATGCCATAATTTATTTTAAGCCCCATTTCACCCGGGTGCGCTGTCGTATACATCATAATTTAAAACAAAAGAATCCACTGCATAACCCCACTACCAAGACCGTGGACATGGGCAAGAACGGATAGATCTTACTACCGTACCTGCGCTTATTACAATGAGCGACCACGAGGAACACGTCAAATTTGCTAGAAAAAGTATGTCTTCGAGGAGGGAAAAGCGAGCTGGTACCCCGGGCCGGGGAATTCAACGTCACCGAAGATCAGCAAAACCCACTAATCTACCTTCCCCATCTAGGCAGTGTAGCGCTTCTTCCCCCTGCTGCGCCTAAAAAAACCCACGGAGTAGGAATCCCAGACATGCCTTGACTGCGCGGGCCTGAAAACCGAAGGAAGCCGTCGACGTGCATCGCTGAGAGACAGGGGTCAGGGTCACACTGCATAAAATGGGATAGATCTCTCAATTTGGAGTGGACGAGATACTGACCTTGTCTATGTATTGCGGGTGCCCCAGGCCACAGCCATACTTAAACCATGACCATTCAAAATCAATTTAACATCTGACAGTCTATTATCGACTCAAATATTATAAAACGGCATGTCAAGGCGGAGCGCCAAGCAATCTTTACCCTGGAAAAGCCAGGGATGGATTCCGGACTATCGAGCTGGAAAACGACAATTATAATTGGTGTACGCATATATGCGTTGGCCAAAAACTAGGACAAAAGTACAGTACGTTAAGGCGCGGCTCAGCTGAGCCCCGGAACCATAACGAATCTGAGCCGAGCACTTCTTTTCTACAATCTTACTTCCTGCAAAGAACCCCTTTTCTTAACAAAACCACGACGATTTTCGGCATATTTCTCGATTCCACCTTGCCGTATTCACAATGGGGGCCGTTAAGGACCAGGACAACTACTAGCGCAGTCTTGCCAACCGAACTCCTCTCTTGGATGCTGCCGCGAACAGGGAAAGTGGGCAACAAGTTCTTTTTTCAAAAAACCGAGAACAATGTAAAAAATGATATACTCGAGGCGCGTGTTGTGTGAAGATCCAAATGCATAATAGGAGGCTCAGTACATTCCATTGCACAGCATCGGCTAACCATGGTTCAGGTTTCACAATAAATTGGTTCAGCCAAACTTTCAACTTAATATTCACCACCAACTCAACGCCTTGAAAGCCGTTTCCAATGAACCCTTCCCAGGTGCTCAGTCATGTTGTCTCTGCGATTGAACAACCTACCGCATTCAGGGCAAATGAAAGAACCGGGCCTGATGTGCTGGGTATCGACATGGCGCTTCAGCAGTCCTTTGGTTGCGAAAAAGCAATCACAACCATTTCAGGGACATTGGTAAGGGGCCTGGCAGCTGCTGAGAATTTATGATTGTCAGAAAGACAACCAAATTGCTAGAATTTTTACGCTAAACACCTTACCAACGATCCAATGCCAAGACCCAAGTTTTTCTTTTAGATACAATATTCCGGATAAACAACAAATTCAATCTATACAAACTCCTACGTTCCAACACCATACCCAGAACCTCTCACGCCGTCACATCCTCCGCAACAGCATACCGACTCCACTTCCGAATAACAGGCCCATACCGATAAAACACATACGGTACCGGAACCATGATAGCACTAATACACCCAAGAATCGTAAGAGTCCAGTGAACACCCATATTCTTGTAGAATGGAATCCCAACAACAGTCATACCTCCAGCAGCAAAGTAGCGTGAGACAGTCATGAAACCCAAAGCGGAAGCCGCGTAGATATCGTACGAGTCGATGACGTACATGTACGAACTGATGAAGATGCAGATAGCACCGAAACCAAAGAAAGACGATGCTATGATGGGTGACCAGATTGAGACGGAGGGCTGATGGGTTAGTTAGTACGCATCTCTTTGGGGGGAGTGTATCCACGCATAGACGGGAACTTACGAAATCGGTCCAGCCCATCCAAAACAGACTAATAGGAATCAACGGCGCACCAAACATAGCAAACCAAAGCCTGATCTCAGGTTGTGTGTGGACATTATCCAAAGCGTGCGGATCAGACGCCGGATCAGTACCATTCTTTGCCTTGGCGGCTGCGACGAAGTCACGCTTTGTCCAGTGGTAAATTGGGAAGACGAGGAGACCTGCAAGCATTATCCCGATGTACATTGCCACCCAGGTGATATTGGTTAGACCTTGTGATATGCCATACACATCGGTGAAGATGTAGGTATATCCATCGAAGAAAGTGAATAGGACAATGTACAGGACAGTCATGTATAGGGAGATCAAGAGGATGATGGGTTCCTGGAATGTAATGAGGAACTGGCGTTTCAGTGCGCCGCCGATCCGAGTAAATAGCGGGATTTTCTCCATGTCCATTGCGGAGCGGAAGCGGTTGTCTCCTGTTGCTTTGCGTAGATGCTTTCCCTTCCATTTTAGGAGTAACGGAGAGTATGTCTCGGGTTGGAACAGAATGATGAGAGCCATAATTGCGCCGGATCCTATGAGGATGATCCAGGCCGTCCATTGCCAGGAGAGAACACCAGTTTGGCCGATGAACGAGGCAATCACTGGAGCCAAGACGGGGCCACCAAATGAAAGGATGGCGTACATTGGGAAGGTGATTGTCTTCTCAAGGGGATTCCATAGATCGGCAATGGTACCGCCTGCGCAGGTCAAGGGCGGACAGCCAAAGATGCCAGCTAGGAAACGGAAGGCGAGCTGGGCACCGATGTTTGGAGCTAGTGCTGAGCCCATGATGAAGATCATGAACAGAGTAAGAGAACCGGCGTAGACAGCATTGCGGCCAAGGATCTCAGACAGGGGTCCGCTGACGAGAGAACCAGCGGCGAAGCCAAGCAGGTAGATACCTATAAAATATTAGCTTTCAACCAGGGGGTAGCAAGGAAGCTGCTCTTACCAGTAACCAACGATCCCACGACCTCACTGACATGATACGTCTCCGTGATTTGAGGCAAAACCCCAGACTCGATCGCCGACGCAGCTCCAACGATAAAAGCCAGTGCCGTGACAAGCAAAGTGGCAACCATTCGACTGGTGGTACTATGATTCCGAGGATTGAGCGGATCATTCTCATCTTCCCATCCAACAACGAATATATGAGACTTCGAATCGAGCTGTTTCTTTATATCGACGCCAGCAAGGGACCTGCCAAAAGCTGTTTTCTCGGAGTACTGCGTGGGCTTCTGAGCAAGCGCAGGCGATTCAGATTCAGTAACATCGTCATCTGTCTGATCCGATGGAATTGATACTGCTGTTTCATGGGGAGTCTCGTTCACGGAGGGAGCGGCACCGCGTTCGGGGGCATCGTTGAGCTGTCTGTGGACGGCATTTCCTAGCCGTCGGTATTGCAGATAAGACTGCATTTTGAAACCTCGGGATTAGACTGAAATTTTGGATACCCCCGGGTTGTATTCTCACCGGTTATGTATAGATATCTGATTCTTTTCTCTCAGATATTGTTATAGATGTTCAGTGCTGTCTCTGGGGACGGGGCCTGCGACAGAAAGAAAAAAGCAGGAAAGGAGATACCATCCTTTTAATGCGCCTGCAAGGTCATGGCCCACTCGGCTGATAAATCGGATTTTCTCAAGCCTGTTAAACGTCGGCGATGTGCCTGTGGGCCTGATCACCAAAGCCCGAGTGTTTAACTTGAGTCACGGCTTCGCTGTTTTACCTAAGTTATGCATGGCTCCCACAGGAAATTGAAAAGGTAGTATTCCCCGCTTATATCTTGCTTGGCCAAATCAAACCCGCAACTAAGCCCTGTAGAGACGATCTCGGAAGGGAGCGAGAATGAACGCCTCGGCGTCTTTTGCCGCATTCAATTCTCGGCCCGCACTTCCAATTTCGGCAAGTGGAGCGTCGGCCGAGAAAGGATTTACTCGCACAGTTGTCCGAGGCCGTTATCAATTCGCTTAGAAGTCCTGTTTGCTTAATTTATCGGAGTTTATAAGATCTATGACGTCGAGTTCTAGAACCTGCAGATTTGCTTTGGCCTAAGGCTCTTTTTGATTCTTACGACCATTACATAGTTGGATGGTATTTGTCCGTACCATATTTCCGTTCTTCTCCTGATTGAAATCTTCTTACGAAAATCATTCGTTACAAATTTATAAATCATACACTACGTGTCCAACAGGGCTCGATGTGTTACTTTCGAGAACTGGGACACAAATTACTGAGAGAGTTGTTTAATGATCTGAGAGGATTG